CTGAACCAGGCGACTCATGCATTCGTTTCACTTCGATGCTGAAGTTCGAAAACTTACACAGTGACTTTGAAATTGATGTTGAAGTATATTCCTTGCAGACGCAACCAAAATTTTTGCCACATGAAAAGAAATATCATATCAATCATCATAACATAAAAGTAAGATTTTGATATATATTTCTTAAAATTGTAACATGTAATAAAATGTGTGATAATGGTTAAATTTAATGCTGAATCTATTTACAGCCGATGAATAAGACGCCAAAGAAAAAAAATCAATTTGTAATGCCAGATATACAGAGTCCAGCTGGACCGCATGTAATTAGATCGCCTGCTTTTGAATTGTCTGGGACTGCGACTATTACGATCAATGATATAAATTGCGAACAATTCGCTCTGTACGGGGTATGTGTAATGTGAATTTTTTAATATGAAGAAAATTCGTAACTAACTTAAGATGTGTACGACCACTGAATATGAATGTGGATTTTTTCATTTAGATCTCGTCGCATTCTCCTCTGGAAGGACTTTTACGAATGCATGTATCGCGCAAGCTTTCAGTATCGATAGAGCATCGTGGATTTTTGACACTCTTTGAAGATGTCTCGAATTTGGGTGCCTGGTGTCGAAGATGGTGCTGGCTTAAAGATGCTAGACTTTATTTTTGGGTACATCCTGAGGACGAACACAAGAAAAATCCGATAGGATATTTAGACTTGGAAGGTAATTCTATTTGAACATTTGGTTATCGCAATTTTTCCGTGTGTGCCTGATTATTTTTGACTTAATTTCTGAATTTATATTTACGATATGTTATATACTTGTAGGTGTACTTACGAAAAATGTACAATTCGTAAATCGAGAGAAATGCGCTCGTCCCTTCACATTTGTACTCGAGACATCCAGACAAGCGCAACCTGAAGATCATAACAGTCTCGTTATGAAGACGAATGGGATTGAAACCACAATAGAGTATGTATTGTTGCTTTTCGGTTTATCATTATCATAAAATAGACTTATCTTAATACTATTTATATATTATTTGCAGGCACTTTTTATTAGCTGATACAAAAGAAGAAGGATTACAATGGATGTCGAAATTGAACAAAACTCTAAGTTTAATTAGAGCTTGGGGACTTTAGAAATTCAGTTTAAACTTATTAATTTCAAGCAACGTATTCAGGTACGTTTAAATCGATTTTTGTGATACGAGACAAGCAATGATATATAATGTATTACTTATCAGAATATAGGATAAAATGCTTTGTTTACATATGACATACTTAGAAAAAAAAAATTTAGCTCGTCAAGTTTAAACACATTGTATTTACATTTGTCAAATATATAAATGGTACAAATGTTTAAATACAAATGATGTAAGTATTAAGATGTAGAACATAGTATAACTCTAGGTCAAATTTTTATTCGCGATATGTTTTATATATTTGTTACGAATAATAATGAATTATTTTAATATAATTGTTGAATTGATTAATTAATTTGATTTCAATAATTAATTGATTAACTGATTTTTTAAATAATTGATTAATTAAATATGATTTCTAATCTTATACATATATAGACATATTCTATAAAACAAAAATATTTAATTAAACATATACTTATTAGTATCCATTTTTTAATAATCAAAATTTATAAAGATAATATATATGCATATAGAATTACGAAATTTACCCGCTAAATTCTTTTATCGATATATTTAATACATACACAAATGCATGTATTAAATATTTTCTACATATATATTATTTTTTATTGTTTTGAATTGCATTTCTATGCTTTACAATTATTAAAGAAGATTAAAGATTAAAGATCAATAGCATTTTGTTTGCATTGAAGAAAGGACTTTGGTATTATTGTAATTGTATTATGGTCTTTTTATAGTATTATATATACTATAAAAGATTAAAAAGATTGTAAATAGATTAATCATAGGAAATTAGTTATTAATGTATATAGTAATATTTTTATGTGTAAAATTACGATTTTACACATAAAAATCAATTATATATATACAATTTGATTTATAATTATTACCATAATTAAGGTTAAGATCATAATTAAGGACATTTTTTTGTAGTATAAGGATCGTCAAGTATATACTCAACTCTTTTATATTTAATTAAATATATCTCCATTCTATTTCTATGTAAAGCGATTTTTATTTTTAAGTTTATATATGGTTTTAAATAATATTTTGTAATACCCATTTATATATAATAATAATATTTAACAAGCAAAAGAAATATAAAAATATATTTAACGCTATTGATTATATGGAAAGCAGGACATTTGTCAACAATCATCAGATTTTAGTATAAAGGTTTATTTGCACCAATTGCGTTTTGTAAGTTTACAATAGATGTGTATAAAAAAAATTACGCTTGTAAGAAAAGAAGTAGATACCGCGGCGATAGGTATACGCGGCTCAAATGAGTGCTGTACTTCCGTCGCCTTCGTAAAAAGGATATAATCGCAAATGACAGAACATCTCTCGTTCAAAATGTTCGCTGGCAGTTTAAAGAAAAACTGATAAAATAATACATACTGCCAGCTTTGAAGCACGCGATATATACAGACAGATACAGCTCGTTATCGTATCATTCGCAATATATGTGAGTACTTTTTATGCGAATGCAGTGAGAAGAAAGAGCATAAGTTAATTTTGCGTTGATTATATTTATTCGCAGATGCATTATCTTTATTCGATGAATTATTTATAAAAAGCATTGTATTAGCAAATTCTCTATATAATTGTATGTTATCCACATTTTAAATAATGTATCATGCGTATTTTACAATGCAAAATATCGCGATCAATTTCGCGGAATTCACGAGAACTAGTCGGCCGAAAAGGATGGATCGCACTAAGGATCAATCATTTTCTTGACGCTTTCTTTGTATCTGTTTGTACATCAGTGACTCGCGTGTTTCATGTAATAAAATATCCATGTGCGTATATAATTACACGAATGTGTCGACGACCGGAGAATCCTAAATATGTAACTTCAGCTCTCGAGCCTGCTTATTTTGCGACGAGATTGATAGTAGGATGAAATCCGGTCTCATCCGCGGTGTAATCGACCCTGTAATCGGAAAGGATGTGAAAGATTAACTTTATGTAAAATTACAAGACAGCATAAATATTTGAAAAGTATTTGATTAAATGAAACAATCTCTTAGATTTTTGTATTCTAATGACTTATAATTCTTTCGATGGCTTTTAAACTAGATTAATGAACGCCTCGTATAAAAGATGACACTTTCCTATATATATATATAATGATTTGTTCATCGTTATAATGATTTCTCATACCTGTACGTGTGTCCGTCTGGCGCGATAAAACTGAAGCTACCAACAACGCTGAGCGCCTCGTTATCGGTGCCTTCATTCTTCAATTCAGCCGTTTCTTCCCTCTTCTGGCCACAATTTGATTTATAATTATTACCATAATTAAGGTTAAGATCATAATTAAGGACATTTTTTTGTAGTATAAGGATCGTCAAGTATATACTTAACTCTTTTATATTTAATTAAATATATCTCCATTCTATTTCTATGTAAAGCGATTTTTATTTTTAAGTTTATATATGGTTTTAAATAATATTTTGTAATACCCATTTATATATAATAATAATATTTAACAAGCAAAAGAAATATAAAAATATATTTAACGCTATTGATTATATGGAAAGCAGGACATTTGTCAACAATCATCAGATTTTAGTATAAAGGTTTATTTGCACCAATTGCGTTTTGTAAGTTTACAATAGATGTGTATAAAAAAAATTACGCTTGTAAGAAAAGAAGTAGATACCGCGGCGATAGGTATACGCGGCTCAAATGAGTGCTGTACTTCCGTCGCCTTCGTAAAAAGGATATAATCGCAAATGACAGAACATCTCTCGTTCAAAATGTTCGCTGGCAGTTTAAAGAAAAACTGATAAAATAATACATACTGCCAGCTTTGAAGCACGCGATATATACAGACAGATACAGCTCGTTATCGTATCATTCGCAATATATGTGAGTACTTTTTATGCGAATGCAGTGAGAAGAAAGAGCATAAGTTAATTTTGCGTTGATTATATTTATTCGCAGATGCATTATCTTTATTCGATGAATTATTTATAAAAAGCATTGTATTAGCAAATTCTCTATATAATTGTATGTTATCCACATTTTAAATAATGTATCATGCGTATTTTACAATGCAAAATATCGCGATCAATTTCGCGGAATTCACGAGAACTAGTCGGCCGAAAAGGATGGATCGCACTAAGGATCAATCATTTTCTTGACGCTTTCTTTGTATCTGTTTGTACATCAGTGACTCGCGTGTTTCATGTAATAAAATATCCATGTGCGTATATAATTACACGAATGTGTCGACGACCGGAGAATCCTAAATATGTAACTTCAGCTCTCGAGCCTGCTTATTTTGCGACGAGATTGATAGTAGGATGAAATCCGGTCTCATCCGCGGTGTAATCGACCCTGTAATCGGAAAGGATGTGAAAGATTAACTTTATGTAAAATTACAAGACAGCATAAATATTTGAAAAGTATTTGATTAAATGAAACAATCTCTTAGATTTTTGTATTCTAATGACTTATAATTCTTTCGATGGCTTTTAAACTAGATTAATGAACGCCTCGTATAAAAGATGACACTTTCCTATATATATATATAATGATTTGTTCATCGTTATAATGATTTCTCATACCTGTACGTGTGTCCGTCTGGCGCGATAAAACTGAAGCTACCAACAACGCTGAGCGCCTCGTTATCGGTGCCTTCATTCTTCAATTCAGCCGTTTCTTCCCTCTTCTGGCCATCGCTCTGCTCATAACTGAAGCGGTATCCACCTACCCCTATATTGTTCACCTCTTCCTGTTTCACGATCGTGATATCATTTGGATTTTGCGGCGCCGCAAGAATGCCAGCTATAAGCGCCAAGATGATGAGGACCTGCGTTACAAGAAAGAGCAAGATAATTTTGCTGAAGGAAAGAAGATAGGAGCAAGAAAATAATTTTTTTTCTAACATTAATTTGTATCGATATAAGATGTACTTTTTTATTTTTTTATTATTATAACGATATTTATATATATTTATTGATTATTTAAAGATAGATGAAATATTTTTCTTGAATGTATAACGTGTCACTATGTAAAGGCGCAATAGTTGAAACGGTCGAAAATTCGACCGTTTCTCAGAACCTGACCTTTCGATGCCAATATTAGATTATTGCCTTACGAAATTAAATCAAAATATCGTAATCGATTTCATGGGAAACGAAGTGACGGGCCAATTTCTTCAGAGATATATATATATATATATACAGGATGTCTCAGAGCTTAATCTTGATCATTTTTGTCAATTTAGAGAAGCGGCAGTTTATTAATTAAATTATCAAAATATTTCGCAAGTTTTTGAATTATAAAAGTGATGATTATATATAAAATAAAAATGTTGCGCAAGCTTCTCTGAGACGAAAATAAGTAATTAAATCCTATTAATCGTTTAAATTCAAATTTGGGCTTTACCATTTTAAATTTTTCTATTCAAGTTTAGATTGTTTAAAAATTATTTAATTTTGAATATCGCTTGTATGAGGCTTTTCTCGAAATTTCTTTCGAGAAAAAAATATACAAGATTGCGCACGATTATTGGATACCCTGTAGACATCCTGTAGACGTTCTCGTGACTTCATGTGTCACGCGCTCAGAAGTGTGCGTAATCACACGCGCGCACAAATGTCACAAAAATCCTCTTCACTTTCACTATTGCGCAAAAATTGGGAGGCTGCGCCTCTCGGGGACCCGGTCCCGAAACCTGCGTAACCCTCGGTTCGATCCGCCCGTCCCCTCGCATCCTCTCGGCTAAAGAAATCCCGATCGCGCCGCCAACAAATTGCATCGATATATCTCGATCTTTTCCAAGATTCACCCACCGTCTTCATCGCGCTCAGGTTCCTTCGTGGTTCCTTCGAACGATTTTAAAACGACGGTGGCCCTTCGTCCTTTTAAACGACGACCGATACGTAGATTACCAGGGAATCCTAGTGCGCATCCGTCTTTATATAGGCGGAAAATCGCAATGTACCGATGTATGTACCCCCCACCTGTGCATGTAGCAGCTTTGACAGAGATTCGCGGATGAGTCTCTCCCGCGGTCGCATCCCGGCCAGGTTGCATCCGCGATACGACCAATGATGCGGCCACTATCAGACGTTGCAGACCACCTTGCATTCTGTACGGTGCCGCAATGATTTACGCTACGTTGCTAAATAGAATGATTCTAAAAAGTGGGAAAGGAAGAAAGAGCTTTCAAACGGCAAAAATGCATGCCGTCTTCATGTATATTCATTTATTAAAGAAAATATTATTATTACAATATTGTATTACGATACTTGATAGCATGTAACGTTTTCTCACATGTGTAATTTTTAACATTATTGTGAACAAACTAGACTACAATTAAATATTAGATGTTTAATTTTTATATTTGTTTAATGTTAATTTTTTTTTAAATATTTTCCTAAAGTTTAGGATAACATTAAAAAAATATTTGTAATAACATTTCTAAAACACTTTTATATGTTTGAACATTATCAAATAATATTTTTTCCATGTTTATTTTGCTTATATTGGACATGTATTTGTATATGGATTATAGAAGGTTTTGATAATAATTAGCACTATAGTTTACGGGAGAAAAATAACGGCGAATAAGTCTCTCTCAATTAATATTATTCGCACATAATTGTTACCAAGAATTCCCTGTATGATGACATATCTCATACGTAGATAAATAAAAAATAAAATAAAATAAGTGCAATTTAAACACAGATTACATAAGCCGTTAGTTTTCCATACACGCAAATAAAAATGTTATTACGCTAAATGTGCTTACGCGAGGTCGACAAAGACGTAATTCAAGATGCTTCTATCTCGTATCTCCTAGAATCACTGATACTCAGCTGTCTATCTTCGCGAAGAATTATCACGCTAAAATAACAATTAGCATTGATTGACATTATGCTTTTGCGCATTTACGCAACGCGTAAATGTTTAACGTATAAAATTGTTTTTAAATTAGGTATCACAATGTTAATAGCATCGTGAATACGTTTTTCGATAATGTATTAGTGCGTTTAGATATTACGCAACATCTATTACGAAACGAACATGTTTGTTGTATGCATTAATTCACCTGTTGTTCATTCAGGTGCAAATCATTCTTGATATGATGCTTTGAAACATTTTCCACACAAGGAATCACTGTCAAGGACAACTCGTCTCGTCAAGAAAGACGATTGTTCCCATTCTCTCATAATACAATGCGGCGACTTTGATCGCTGCATCTAATCTTTATCCGTCTCTTACATCAACACGATACAATTTTAGAAACCTTATCTTCCTCTCTCATTACTCTGTTTAAAATTTATTGTTAATTTTAGAAAGATCAAATGTAGCTTTGATGTATCGCAGAGATATATAATGGAGTATCTACTCTATTAGATTAAATAGAAGATACTCGATTTTCATATCTTTTAATCTCGTGGATTTTTGTGTTGTACGATTTTGAGATGCAACCGCAGATTTTCAGCTCTCGTTTCTTTTTTTTTCAGATTCGACACAACTTGAACAAGGCCACGGTCGTGCAAGGTGCAAGAGATGCGTTCTCTTAGACTCAGGACCTGATCAAAAATGTGAAAGCTAAAAACTCTCGTGATCCCGGCGAATTCCGGTAACGAATGGCGGCGGTTCCATTGGCCAGAGGCGACAGTCATATTATACAGTACGATCGAAACGTCCTTGGTCATTGTGACATTTGGTTTTCTCGAAGTTGGACGCGCGCCGAAGGAAAGTTGATGACGTAACTATCGGTGACCTTGCCATTTCAGAAGATGCGACGGCGAAGATCTTGAGAAGGAGGAGGAGACCTCCAGCTATTTTCTCGGTCTCCTTTCCGTTGATGGTATGATATATCTCTATCTTCCTTTTTCCCTTTTTCCCCCTCCTCTCTCTCTCTCTTTTTCTTCAGAAATGTCTGTTCCCGTATACAGAAATCTAGCGGATATTCTTGGAAATCGCGCAATCGTCAGATTTCTGGATATTGGCTAATATTGTCATTGATGCTTTATATATAAAAGTATCTTCGACATATTTTATGCAAGAATAAACTTGTATAAATAAATCTTGCAACATCGAAGCAACATTGCCTTTTGTTACAGCGGGAGAACCTCAGAGAATAATTATGAGAAAATATCGTATATATAATAATAAATTATATATATTATACAATTTTCTCTTGGCCTCTCCCTGAATTCTTTTTCCTAGATATGAACAATGTTATTTCGATGTAATGCAAATTATTTGCAACTTCGACGCAAAGACGTTCGTTTTCACCGTTTTAATGTTGAAACAGCTCCCATCTTTTCGTCTTTATGTTTTTTGTACGTGAGAAAGTCAGTGCACATCACGATTCGCGATCGTAAATGTGGACTCCGAATGATTATACATTGATTATGCAAAGATCATGAAGAAGACCGAGTTTCTTTCTCTTTTTTTCTCTCTCTTTTCAGGGACCATCGAACTGCACGATTCGTTTACATACCAATAGGCAAAAAATTTGCACTTGTGTCAATTTGAAACTGTAGATTTTATTTTATAATAATGATATTATTATTAATTACTTTTCAGACAAACGCTTTTACGTCAAAACTTTGATACAACTTTTGCGTGAAATGTTTTACACTATCAAAAATCTCGATTTCTTCGTATAAATATTATTGCGCATAGACATAAATATTTCTTTAAAAATGATTCTTAAAGAAATAAGAAAACTCGTAATCTCTTGTACGGTATTGTCAGTTTGATGAGAAATTACATCTTTAAAATACGTGGGGTAGCTAATTGCATGCGTAAGCGCAACAAATCATTTCATTTTTCTCGCCTTACTAAGGAATTTTATTTAATTTCTTACATCAACGCAGAGACATTACAACTACTATAAAATTCTAGACTTCAATATTTATTAATCTTCTGAAGTCAAGGTTCTATTTCATTAGTGTCGTTATTACGAAACGCTCATAATTAGTCAAGCAACACAACGATCCTCTAAATTCCTGAAGGGATCCACATGTTTAAGAATCGAGTTTTTATTAGAATATATACGTATGTGTATAGAAAATAAGCGAGAACCGACTCAGATAATATTTCGCCTGGGGCCTGAATATATAAAAGATGAAGCCTGCATCAGAAGAGATTAATAAGTCGTTATTTAGCAAAAAGCAATTTGCAAATTTGCGCTGTTACATCGCTCATAAAAAAAAGTTTCGTTAATTCTTATAAAGAAGGAGTACAGCAAAAATATCAAATAAGAAAAACGCTGCAATTTTCGTGTACGCAGAATGAATCGGCGTTTTTTTTTTTCTAGGAGAGATCGGCGATGGATGATTTACGACGGGGCGGGTGACAAAGGATATAAGCATCTGCGGGCGACAGCTAAAAATTATGCAATAAAGGACCTTTTCTACTGCTGTTGGCATTATATGCCGGGTTACAACCTTAAATTCCAGGTGAGGACGCGCGCGATGTTAAATTCTATGATAAACCTGTCCGTCGAAATGTCTATAATTCATTGACTTCAAAATTATGTAATGGACAGATGCAAAGACAGATGCTGATGTAGCCTGACCAAAAGAGGTAGAAGCTAGAACATTTCTAGACATTTAATCTTGCAATTATTTTTCGCATAAAAATTTACGAAAGAGGATATATTAAAAAAATCATCCAGAATTAGAAAATTAGAATAAAATTTAATAATTATAATTAAAGCCGATAAAGTTAGAAATCAAAGATTTACAGGTTTAGGAATCTATACATTTTTACGTTAATTTTTGTCATTGTTTAAAAATTTTGCAAAAAAGGAGCAACTTGTCATTCATATTAAACAACGCACATTCAATCAATTTTTAGTTCTCGATTCGGAAGCCGGTAAAAAAAAACCATAAATTAGAGATTTGTATTCAACTACTGATTCAATGCCCGTCGCCGAAAAGGCGATTCAATAAACTTTATATAAATATACAACGGGGAGTATGACGAGTCATTTACTTCTTAATGGATTATCGACATCCTCTTTCGATCTATTATAATCAGGAATAAATAAGCGCTTTTGACAGTTTAATGCAAGGTCGATAGTGTGTTCAATAATATATGCCTGAAGGCAAAATCATCTGCATTAGAGATGTGTCGTCTCCCGTAATAAATGTCTCGGGACCGATTTTAGTAAGACGATTTAAAGAAGAGGAAAGCTCGTCAACCCCAATGCATCCAAGGATGCTGCAACGTAGTCCGGCCAGCGTTTGCATTAGATGCGTTTGCCGCTGTAAAAAAAAAAAAAAAGAAGAAAGAAAAAAACTCGCGAAAGCGAGTAAATGTCAACGAGTTGATCAGCTTATCTCTTTCTCTTTTCTTCTTAACCGCCGCTATCGCTTCGTGTATTCGCTCATGCATGATTTGCCCACGTCGGCAATATGTTGGCGACAGATGTGATCCGCGATTCTCGCGGTTACTCATATTATTGTTCACTTTCGCTATTTTACCAATTTACAAATTCTGTATATTTCTCCATCTTCTACATTTTTTCATAGTTTACTATTCTTATCTTCCCTTATTTTTTTGCAAAACTTTTTCTTCAGATATGTGCGAATAGCTTTGAAATTTGAAGCATCCAAAATTATTAACGGAAATTAATTATTAAAATCAAGAACAAATTAAAGTTGTTAGGAATACTTTCGATTTTAAATATAGAGAGATTCATTGCGTTTCGTCGTGTCAGAAGCGGTAGAAACGTGTTCCTCTTGTTTCAATCGCGTAATCGATTGTCGTTGCAAAGGTCGCAGACTGCAACCTACGTGAGAAACGACGACGAGTTTCGCGCAATTCGGTCAATATCGTTCCGAAGTCAAATGTCGAACGGAATTGCATTTCCGTGCACGGTTCCAGGCTGGACGATCGCGAGATGAAGCAAGTGTCAGCGTTCACCACCGTTGGATAGTGGAATCGGTAGAAAATTACAACGATCGTCCTCAATGATGAATCCGTCTTGTCTTTTATATATGGTGTGTATTTCCACTATTGCAAGAGCCACGGTTCATTTACCACTCCAGTCTTTCCTCTTTAAGGAAAAGTTCACGGCAGATTATCAGCAATAACGAATGCGAATCGTTTGCGTAGGAATTCTGAGAAATTGAAAAGGCATGAATGGTAATCGATAATTTTCCGATGACTTTTTAACGTTTCTCTTTGCGACATTCACGTATAAGGCATAGGGTATTAGCATGTCGTTTTATCTTCTAATTGTTTCGATATAGTTGCAAATTAAAAATCGGCAAGTAAGAGGAAGTGTTGACAAGTTCAATGAAAATTGATAAGAGTAACAAATAAGAATTTTAATTAATAGTCCTATTCGAATTCTTTAGAATATGTAAAAATCTTTCTGCAATCTGACCAAACCGGTTTAGGGAACGACTTTATGAACATTCATATAAATCATAACTAATCGAGAACGAGAAAATATATTTTTAGCAACTTTAATTTGTCCTTGATCTTAATAATTAATTTCTGTCGTGCTTAGAGAATTGAATCAGGTTCTTTGATTTTTAATCTAAGCAGACGTATTTAAATTTATATTGGATCAAACGCGCAGAGCAATATTTAAGCGAGAGATGAGAGATCACAGAAAAGAAATAACATCTTCTAATAGTCTGCAAGCGAGTAAATGTCAACGAGTTGATCAGCTTATCTCTTTCTCTTTTCTTCTTAACCGCCGCTATCGCTTCGTGTATTCGCTCATGCATGATTTGCCCACGTCGGCAATATGTTGGCGACAGATGTGATCCGCGATTCTCGCGATTACTCATATTATTGTTCACTTTCGCTATTTTACCAATTTACAAATTCTGTATATTTCTCCATCTTCTACATTTTTTCATAGTTTACTATTCTTATCTTCCCTTATTTTTTTGCAAAACTTTTTCTTCAGATATGTGCGAATAGCTTTGAAATTTGAAGCATCCAAAATTATTAACGGAAATTAATTATTAAAATCAAGAACAAATTAAAGTTGTTAGGAATACTTTCGATTTTAAATATAGAGAGATTCATTGCGTTTCGTCGTGTCAGAAGCGGTAGAAACGTGTTCCTCTTGTTTCAATCGCGTAATCGATCGTCGTTGCAAAGGTCGCAGACTGCAACCTACGTGAGAAACGACGAGTTTCGCGCAATTCGGTCAATATCGTTCCGAAGTCAAATGTCGAACGGAATTGCATTTCCGTGCACGGTTCCAGGCTGGACGATCGCGAGATGAAGCAAGTGTCAGCGTTCACCACCGTTGGATAGTGGAATCGGTAGAAAATTACAACGATCGTCCTCAATGATGAATCCGTCTTGTCTTTTATATATGGTGTGTATTTCCACTATTGCAAGAGCCACGGTTCATTTACCACTCCAGTCTTTCCTCTTTAAGGAAAAGTTCACGGCAGATTATCAGCAATAACGAATGCGAATCGTTTGCGTAGGAATTCTGAGAAATTGAAAAGGCATGAATGGTAATCGATAATTTTCCGATGACTTTTTAACGTTTCTCTTTGCGACATTCACGTATAAGGCATAGGGTATTAGCATGTCGTTTTATCTTCTAATTGTTTCGATATAGTTGCAAATTAAAAATCGGCAAGTAAGAGGAAGTGTTGACAAGTTCAATGAAAATTGATAAGAGTAACAAATAAGAATTTTAATTAATAGTCCTATTCGAATTCTTTAGAATATGTAAAAATCTTTCTGCAATCTGACCAAACCGGTTTAGGGAACGACTTTATGAACATTCATATAAATCATAACTAATCGAGAACGAGAAAATATATTTTTAGCAACTTTAATTTGTCCTTGATCTTAATAATTAATTTCTGTCGTGCTTAGAGAATTGAATCAGGTTCTTTGATTTTTAATCTAAGCAGACGTATTTAAATTTATATTGGATCAAACGCGCAGAGCAATATTTAAGCGAGAGATGAGAGATGAAAGAAAAGAAAGAACATCTTCTAATAGTCTGCATTTGATCAAAATGTCCATATATTCGTCATTGATATTTTTCCGAAGATAAATCATTGTTTGCTTCGTTAGGTATGTAAATCTCCGCGTTAAGTGGCACAGCATGAGTTTTCCGGATTGCTTTACACAAGAAGAATTGTGTGAACGCAATTATCTTATTTCAACATCTCTTGTTTTTTCGCGACTTTGTTGATCACGTTACCGCTTTATTCTTCCGTACATCAATGTCTCGTTGATGATTTTTTTCGGTATGTGTGGAATGAAAAATGAATACATCAAATATTATGCAATCTTTTTCTTACAGATTCGTACAAGATTATTGATTGGTAATTACATAGAAATCTGAAAATATATACGAACATCCATCTCGTATAATTTAAGACGAGATCTTCTTTTATCGAAAGACTCACCTTTCAAAGTGTCAGCTACTATTTACTGTCACCTTTAAGCACCCTTTCCGCGTACTTTTGCAGGAGGCCACATATCCTGCTGGTATAATTATCTTATCTGGCTACATTATCCGCAAAGAAACCTCGCGTGAATTATGAGGATATCGTCGATGATAATCATTCGTGTTGCATGTACATAAAATGCGCAGATGATGCTCGACCCGATGGTTCGCACCTTCGACACGCAATGATCATGTGGTCCATCGCGAGATATACACAAGGTAAGTTAATCGATGATATGTATGTGCGCAGGAGGATACGCGAAGGATACGTAATTCATAAGCCACACTCGCAATCAGTAGTTTGCGATAGAAATGGTCAGACGCGATCGAGAGAGAAGTTGCTTCGCTACGACATAAATTTTTCAAAATTGTAAATTTTAATCGGAGAAATATTTTAATTTTAATAAGAGTTTACATGATAAAAATTCAAAATTGCGTTTATTCAAAAACTAAAATAATAAACCTTATTACATATCCTTAAGTTTGAAAAGACTTGCCTTCCAACTTGCTGTATTAGAAATATTGCTTTCCAGAATTTTAATTCAAAATTAAGGAGACAAATGAGACGTTTAATACTAATTAAGGATTCTTTTTCGATTTCTATTTTATCGTAAATTTAATGCTGGTACCACCAGCTATAGATCATTTCCACTATCGAAGCCTCCGATAGATTAGAATCGCGTTGCGCCCGCGACGACTTCACCGTCGTTTAATGCAAGCGCGTGCAGACCCGTTCGTTTGCCGACAGCATAGTGGCATTTAGGATCCGTGCCATCGTGCCACAACGGTGATATTACGCAAGGAACGCGCCTTTTAGAGCCGGCAATGGCGACGACCTCGCGCACGCGGTCCAGCAAGATTCTTGCGAAATTCCTAGCTCGAGTTCCTCGCTGAAAAGCGGCGTCGCGCTCATCCTCCCGCATGTACGTTCTTCGTTCATGTTTTTCTCGGCAGGATCGACGATTATTCTCCGGGAACCCCGTGTCAAATCGCGATATTCGTAATTTCACGGTCGTAAAGCTGTCACACGCCTGTATAAATATTCTCGCGAATAGGTAATTTTCTCGATATACTCCACAATGTTGCTAACGCAAATTTTATAGACTCTTACACGTTTGACATTTTTCCGTTTTTATAGAAAAAGCAGCAAGATACTTCTCGGTGTATGAGATCTTTATCCTGTTTGATATTTCTATATGCTCGTCCACTAATTGCAAAATTATATTTAAATCTCGAGAGAATGTTTCGTACATAGGAATAATTTTATATTAAAATTATTAATGCCAGCCGCGTCAACCGAATTATTAATTGTTGGATGATAGGGTCAAGTGTCAACTCCGCAACGTATAAGTAGCGTTGAAGATCTTTGCGTAACGCCGACGCCGACGCAAGATAAACGGTTCGCATCTGTTCGTTCGAAATAGTCGCGCATCTTCTCTCTGCATCCCGCTGCGTTCTCCTTCTTCGCGCACAATTGATTATACAATAATATCGTGCTTTTAAAAAATACTCTGCGTTTAAAGAGGTACAATCACGATCTCTCTCTGATGGTGCACTAACTCAGCTAGTTATCTAATGTGCTGCACATGGAGTGTTCCAGAAGTCTTAATTTTAATTTTAATAATCTTTCGTGAATTCGAGAATTATTTTTTTTTTTAAGAATTTTGTCATAATATAATTAAAAGTCTCGTAGAGGAGTTATTTGTTCTTTATTTTAAATTGAAATTTAAAGTTTACGTATATTTTTTACATTGTATAGAATTTTAATGATGATTATCAAATACATGAAACACATTTCTTCTTTGAAAAATAATCCTTTAATTTTTCTAAGTAAATTGATAAAACGAGGGATAATAAATTATATATAGGAGCACGGAGGTTATCAGAAATATTAATGTTATTCCTCATCAGTAATGCAGACTAACGTGCCGACAGTAATTTAACGATAACGTCTTTCTAATCTCGATCGGCCTGCAGGAATCGATAATAACTTAGCCTACGGCGCAAATTCACACCGTGTACTATTAATTATAAATGTAATCACGAGAGAGATACTCTCTATGCACTCTAATATAACATAGCGGTATATTCAACGTTACATTCACGCGTGACATAACGCGACATGTAGTCTCTTGATCAAAGATAGATGTATTTGTATTAGAAAGTTCGATAGGATCTTTGCCCACGCGATGATAATATAATGATATATTATCTAATAATAATTATGCGCGTGCTATGCACACATAATTATTCAATGTATATTAATTATACAAACAAAAATGGATTTGTTGCGCGAGAAAAGCGAATAATTTTAATAATATGTTTATAGTAATAATAATAGTAATTTGATTTTTAATAATATATATGTACAAACTATATAAATATCTATAGCTTTTGTATAAAATTACTATGTGGGAATAATTGACGTATATAATATTATTTTAAAAATAGTGGATATGATGTGACTTTATTGCACACATACATGACAATTATGTGGATGTAGAGAGACGCGTGGCATCGTTGACTTTTATCCTTCCACGAAGAAGATTCTTACTCTCCGTAATGCGCCTCTATCTCTCTTTCTCTTTCTCTCTTTCTTTCTTTCTGTCTGTACGTCGCGATCATTAGCATAAGCCATTCGCTTATGTAACAGTACACTTTCTTTTCAAAGCTCAACAGGCGCGCATTATTCCTCCCTCATTACTTAATGATATAATTTATGTCAGTCAATGAGATTGCTCGTGTGCCACCGTCCAAATGGAAGATAAAGACGTAATACAGAAAAAAAAGATCGAACCTTTTGAAATTTTTATTAGATGGAATCTTGTTTAGCAGGTTTGGCTACTTAAGTTTCATTGTCATTTGTAAATATCAGGTTTCGGGACAAACTACGAAATATATTAACGCGAGCGATGAATGAATGGGCAGAAAATTAAAAAAAAAATATTATAAAATAATTATCGCTTCTTCAGCAAAGAAAAAATTTGCATCTTGATAATAATAAAAAAAAAAAACTTACACGTTTAGGAGGCAATAAATTTCTGCAATTTTGAAATCTTGCAGCATTGACTGAAAAGTGATCAACTTTAGAATTGACAAGAATTCTTTTTGGGAAGCGACACTCTTCGCCAATTCCGCGATTACATCAAAAACCCGTTTTCCTAATTTTGAAGAGACGAAATAATTTATCGCTTCTCTTATAAAATCGGAATTCTTCAAATACCAGGATGTGTCACTGGATTATTGGGCTGCTATATATATA